GGGAAGCCCATGAACTTCGGCATTGGGCAGGGTTGGATAGTAGCTGTCACCTGCCCCTGGTGCCCTGAGGAAAAAGAGACAAGCTTTCTGTTCTTTGTCTGTATGCCCAGGAGGGCAGTACTGGCACATCTGTCCCTGTAGCCCCAGCCCCCAGAACAGCTCAGGCTCAGGGTATGCACTTGGCTAGTCTCTGCTGGATCAGTGACGCTGTCTGCAAACAGGACAGTGATAGCCCCACTTCATGTCACAGCTAATTTTGGAAGCTCACCGCCTTTCTCCTCCCCCTCAAGTCCCACTTTTACACCCCACCACTGAGTCAGTTCCAATGGCTGTACCTGATGCCACATGGCCTGAGTGGCCCCTGTGTGCAAACTACTTGGGCCATGCCTGGTGCAGGTGTATTCTCACCTGGTGTCTGGCCTCTTTTTCTTCTCACGCCCTATGTCTGATGGCACATGCCCTCCACCTGGGGGTCTGGCCATTGGGTTCTAGCCTTCTTAACCTTCTGGAGTGCCCAGGAGAGACGCACCAAGAGTGCAACCCTGAGTAGCCCCAACCTGGCAGGCTGCATCCCCTTCTCTCGACCGCGGGGTGGGGCCAAGCTGGCATAGTCTCGGCCTCCCTCCAACTGAGCCAATCAGAGTTCTCCAGCGGATACAGGCTCCACCCCCTCCAGCTGAGCCAATGAGAATGCTGGATATGGATCTGAGGCCTCACCTCGGTGATATGACAGGCAGGTGAGGGAAGAGACCTTTTGGAGGGGGTGGGACCAAGTGGGGTCCCAGTGATGCACTGGGGGGTGCAGGGTGCCAAGTCGCCTGTGGTGCAGCCCACCCAAATTCCTCCTTCTCCCCCTTCCCTGAGCTGAGCCAGGCTTTCGGCCCCTTTATCGGGGGCTGGGGCTCTTCATCCTGGTGCCTGGATGGTGCCCAGCACAGTGCGATGCTCAGCAATGCCCTGTGGGGTCAAGCCTCACAGCACCTCACTTCCCTTTCTGAAGGCTGGGTCGCCTGGGAAGCTGCAATTTAAGGAGGTGCCCTCTGAAGTCTGAGACCACAGCCAGGAGGGTCAGCCCAACCCCCCCCCCCGCCCTTGCAGAAGGCCCCTTGATGCCTGTGAGTTCACAGTGTCTTCTGCAAGGTGGTGGATGGCAGAGGCTCGCTCACTGACATTCACACCTTCGGCAACCAGGACAGATTGCCAAAGAGATGAGGTCTGGGAGCAGAGGGTGGCAGAACGACAAACAACCCTGGTGGGGCAGCCAGGGGAGCTTCCTAAAGAAAGGGATATGCAAGTCGACAGGTGAATTAACTGGGGAAAGGGAGGTGGGGTGCACCAGGCAGGGGTATAGCCAGGGCAAAGTCTCCATGGTGGGAGGAAACACGGCCCGTCCAGGGTGTGGAAGGAGGGTCTGCTTGGCCAAAGGACAGTGAATGCCTCACAGCCTCCAGGGCCTGCCCCAGCCTGGGTACCTTCCTGGGGACACAGACAGGGGGCCTCTGGGTGTTTCCAGGTGAACTGGAGTCAGCCTCCGTTGCTTTTGAATAATCATGGGAGCCTCGGCTCCAGTGGCTGAGCCTGACATGGGCAGGGGCCAGAGTGGGGAGGAGGACTGTGTGTCCAGCAGCCACTGGCCTCGGCCTCTGGAAAGGGGGGTCCACAGGCCATGGCAGAGCTCACAGCTAGGGTGGGGGTGTCCATGCGAAGGGTCCAGGGATTATCTCTGGGGAGTCCATCCAGCCACTGTCCCGTTGCCATGGCTCCCGGCTGCCACTAATCCTTGCCCTCCTCACCGCCAGTGCTGGTGTGACCTCTGCAGAGTGTCCCCAGGCTTCACCTCCCTTGATCCTCCTGGGGCTCACCGGGGCTGAGAGTTGAGGGGGCTCCTGCCAGGAGCATGGGGCAACAGGGGAAGGCGGCCTCAAAGTAGACAGGTCGCCTCTCTGGGTATCTTCTCTCCTTTCCCAAGGAGGGCCTAGGTGAAACCACCCAGGTTTTAGGATATTGGAGCAACCCAGCCTGATGCTGGGCTATAACTAAGCACCCACCCACTCACAGGGCCGTGTGTCTGCTGTGCATGGGGCACTGCCTCCCACACAGCACCCTGCACCCCTAGGACAGTGGGATCTCAGGCTACTCAGGAGACCTTGGATTTTGATGAGGGCCTCTGGATTCAGTAGGCAGGAGCTGGGCCAGCACAGCCCTCAGCTCAGGTGTACACACCAGGCTTCCCCACCCTGCCCCCTGCCTGGGCAGCCACGTGGCCAGCTCACTTGCCTGCCTCACTGGCAGTCCCAGAAGCAGAGCCTGGGTCTTGGGGTTTGATTCAGGAGGTGACCCCAGGTAGCAAGAAAGAGGAGTGGGGAGTGTAAGATAGGACAGGGTATGGAACTGTGCACAGCTCAATCCACTAGGACACGCTTCCTCTAAGAATTAGCCCCAGAAAGATGGGACTGAGCATTTATACTGGCTCCTGTCCCCTACTGGTTGCGGGTGCTGCAGAGGGATAGGCCTTCTACACTTCCCGGTGGGCTTCTTGGGGAAACCTAGGCGCTTCCCCAGTGAGGAAACCTCAGGAAAACATGCAGGGAGCAGACCCTGGATGGCACCAGATGGCATGAACCTGAGGAGCCAGAGCTCACAGGAATGCCCACAGGTGAGACACCAGGTGGATGTGATGGCCTCCACAGTCTCACCACGTCTGATCTGGAGACACCCTGAGCTCCTTGCATTTGGAGGACAGAGCTGACCACGCAGGCCGCTGAGCCTGTTCTCAGGACACCAGTCCAGTGGTCCCCCACTGAGCTCAGATCCCTGAGGCCCTCCCTTCATTCACCCTCGAGGTCAGGTCATACCCCTTGCTTGGCCTGGCCTTACCATTTTGGCCCCTTTCCCACTGCCCACCCCACTGTCCTCCTGCTGTTCCCTCTGTTGAGTCTTTCTTACCCTGTCACCCTCCCTGGAGTCAGTGCCCTCCTTAAGAGGCTGTCCTTGGCATTCCTGTCTCCATGCCTCTCTCTTTCGCATCACCCTCCTTCTCTCCACACAGCATTTATGACCATCTAAAAGCACTTACATTAAAAATTCTTTTTGGTGTATCACCGCTCTGCCGTTCTCGGAGCTCCTGGAATCGGCCTTGTCTGTTTTGTTCACAGTGGTGTCTGCATCCTCCTGGGCAGGCTGGGAACCTAGGAACTGTGTGTCTCTCTCACCTAAACGCATTAGAGGGTTTGTGTGGATCTGCGGGGTGTGTGACAGGCCACATGTGTATGTGCACGCAGACCGCCTTCCCAGCTGGCAAGCAACACAGGACATGCAGCCCAGCTCTGTCTGGCCACCCCAGCCCGCATGGCCACCCACAGGGCCCAAAAGGTCTCCTGCGCCAGGGACATGTGGACCTCAGCAGGGACTGTGCCTGCTTTAGCACCAGCATTGCTCATGTCCTGGGTGGCCTGGACATCTCAGCCTGCTGTGGCCGCTGTTTCCTGCGGGGTGTCAGGAAAGACATCAGTCTCCTTGTGGTGGCCAGGCAGGCAGCTGCCCCTCTGAAGGCCAGTGGGACTCCTTGCCTGATGACGGGCTGGAGGGGGTGGGGGTGGGACATAGAGGAGGGCTGCAGCCCAAGGGGGCGGTATTCCACTCTGTCCTTTTTTTTTTTTGGCTGCACTCTGGCCTCATGTCCACATGGATCCCATGGGGAGTTGGGGGACGCAAGGAGATGGCCAGGTTGGGACTGGGGGGAGGTCTGGAGACTTCCTGAGCATGGAGGCTTCTAGTGTGGCTGGGGAGGGTTTCCTGTGGGCTCCAGGCAGCAGCCGAGCCTCACCAGGTACAGCCGGCATGAAAACAAGCACTCACTTCCAGGCTGGCCTCCTTCGTTCTCTAGGACCTTCTTCTTGACTAAAAACCATAATTCATGAGCCTTGTAGAAAGTGTAACACCTCAGAAGAGCATGAAGAAAAAGGCAGTCCAGGCACACTGCCTCCCTGTGAGACTGGCCAGTACACCACGTACAGGTGACTCCATCCCTGCCTGTCAACACACAGCACGGGGCTGCCTCACATCACCTGTGAGGGTCCTCATGCTGTGGGGGTTTGGGGGTGCCTCATTTCATTTGGCCAGTGGCTGGGCTCCGTGAGCTGGGGGCTGCACCAGGTGTGAAGCTGTCCAGATACCTACCCAGCTCTCTCCCTAGCATAGCACAGGTGTTCAATAACCTGGATAAAACTTGTGGCTCTCACAGTGGAGTTCCCATCAGCAGCACAGGCACCACCTGGAACCTGTCAGAGACAGATGCTCAGGCTTGCGACCCTGGGCAAGAGACCCAGCAGCTGTGTTTCAATGCACCTGGGACTCTGATGCCTGATAAGGGGAGACCCCACAGAGCATCCTGGGAGTCCCCAAACCACTAGCCATCTGGGCCACCTGCTGCCCCTCTGCTGTGATCCTGACCCCCACCTCCGGCACAGACCCTCCCTCAGAGCGCTTCTCCCTGAGGGAGGACCCCTCACCAACTCTCTTCAGATTTTTAGAAGTGCTGTACCGGGACACCCTCCAGCCGCTCCTGCGGGCAGGACTGCGGCCCCCCAGCTCTGGGCTGAGCCAGAGGTGAATGAAGAGAATGAGGTGGGAGCGCCCATCATCTTATTCGCCCCTAAAGAGACAGGGACTGTAGGCAAACATGCAGTCTTGGGGCGGGGGAAAGGACTATGGACAGATGGACAGACCGGCGGACTGGGCTTGGGGCTGCAAGAAGCCAGGTGCCCGCCCCCCGCCCC